TCGGCGGGCCCATGCACGAAATGTGATGACGCGGGTCTGTTTCTCGTCAGGGGCGCAATCCCATTTTTATTGCCGCTCCCGGCGTCAAATGACTGCAACGTGAAAGTGAAAAGAGAAATATTCCTCTCTTTTTGGAAGATGTAAATTCCACCGGGAACTTTTTCTGTATTCTTTTCATAAAGCAGCTTGTGATTTTGATGGGTTGTGTGCTCGCATTTATGCATGGCAGCTGCCATTCAAGCAGGTGTGCCTCAAATTCAGACCTCCTTCAAGACTTGACAATTCACATGATGGAATTCGGAATTCACATGACTGAAACTGAGGAAAATTCTGAAGAAACCCTGGATGAACAGCAAATATCAGTTCTTGAGTGAAATGTGTCATCCTGCTAAGAAACAAAACAAAAAAAAAAGCTTCTTGGCACTTCCAGAGAAGAAGTTGCATGCAAACATGGAAGGAAAGCACATATGGGCTGTTGCAAACCAATCTTTCAGACTGACGTGCGCACATAATGCAATAATCTTTTCCCACCTCAATGAGAGAAAAAAGCAAGACACCGTGGGAGCGGCGACGGGACAACAAAGTGGTGGTTTGACGCTGTTTACTTTGTGCGTTCGTCAAAATCATTGTGCCACCTCGGACCACCTGCTGCAGACTGCCTGAAGGCTCGCCACGTTCCTGAGCCACTAATCTGTGACCGATTCTGCCTCTGCAGGTGGACACGGACCCACTGCCGGGCATATGCTATACATCACACATGCAAACACACACACCGGAAGTGGTGAGCCGTAGTTATCAAGGATAACCTTCACCAATCTAAAATGATCTAAAAAGGAGGAGAATGAAGTCCAAGCGGAATGTGTGTGGAAGTCACCAGTTCAAGGGCATTTTGACTTTTCTCTTTTTTTCTTCTTAAATCGATTGAAATCACATCGTGAACATTTTAAAAGTTGTTCTTTCATAGAAAAAGTTTTCAAGGGAAATCAAAAATAAGACATTTACACTGTTTGATCAAAGTTACATGTGCGCATAGACGGCCAATAGAAAGTGTGTCGAAACCAAGCAAGCGTGCCTGCGTGTGAGTACGCGTGTGCGTGATTCAATTTGCATTATCTACTCACCTGACGGGCATGTCCAGCTTTGGATGTGCTGCTTGTGATCTGATCCACTTTGTCTCCCTCACTTCCTCTTCTCCGGTGCCCCAGCCCTGCCCTGTCCTGGGTGCTCCCCAACCCACCCCACCACCACGTCGATCCTAAACACAACAGACAAACACTCTGTTTGTGCGTGTGTGTATGTGTGTGTGTGTGTCTGTGTGTGTATGTGTGGCGTCCAATGGACTCGGGACCGGGGCAGCGTCTGTCCTGAGCCTCCCTCTTTCACTTTCACAGAAGCAAAGCCGGAAACATCGTGGACTCCAAGTGTGCGTGTTGTGTTGTGTTGTGTGTGCGTTTTGTATTGCGCGTGTGTGTGCGTGTGTGTGTGTGTATGAGCTAGCTGATGTACCTCTCCTCGCCTCTTAGACTCACTTCACTAACACTCTGCTCCGCTGCCTCCAGGAGATGGACTCGGATTAGGACACAGCCAGTGTGAGAATCTCTTCAACCCCTCTCTCTCTGCCTTTCTCTCTCTCTCTCTCTCCCTCTTTCTCGCTCTCTCCTCGTCCCCGTCTCTCGATCAAGCCCTCTCCTCTCGCCGAAGCTTCCTCCAGGGAAAGCTGTGCACACACCAGTTGTCTCTGCCTTCAGCTGCTCCCTCTCCCTCTCTCGCTGTCTCAGTCCCTAGTACATATAAAAGGCATGCTTGTTCAGCCCCTCGCCTCAGTCTCTTCCTGGCGCTCTCTCGCTCTCCGCCTGCCGCGTGCTTTTTCGTTTATCCCCCCTACCTCAGGAGCTTTACTGAAACTGAGGTACAGAATTCACCTTTGTGAAGTAAAAAAAAAAATAATTGGCCAGCCCTCGCTTGCCAACAACTGGGCATAGCCAAAACAAGCAAGCCAGCCAGCTACCTCGCTCGCTCGCTCGCTCGCTCCCTCCCTCCCTCCACACTTTTTCTTTCTCACTGTCAAAGTTGCCTTTCAAATGCTGATGAGCAGCCGGAGCGAAAGAATGAAGGAGAGGAAGGGCGACGGAGGAGTGAACCACTCAAACAAGTGGGGAGATTCCGTCACCCCCCCCCCCAAAAAAAAAGACGCGTCCTGTCCTGTCCCGGCTTCAGTGGCCACAACATTAGGTACACCTACAGGAGATCATGAAACACGTTCGAAAATGCCTTTCGATCAGGTTTTTTTCAGTGACAATTTCGATTGATTTACTGTTACATGTGTTCATTGGGTTTAGCAGGGTGAAATAGTGGTTAGGAGATGTTCCTCGTAGTTTTCGGCAGGGTTAGAATACTTTGGGAATGGTCATGAACGTTTCTTTTTGCTTTTGTTGTTAAATTTGAATTCGTTTTACTGACTTTTTCAAGAATGTTTGTCAGTCCTTACTAAGGCTTTTGGTATTCGGATATCCCGCTGAAAATTCGAATCAAATAATCGAGTGTTCGGATACAAATACATATTTTCTGCTGGATAAAGATACGGACGCCAAAAAACACCCCACATTTCCACTTATTAATAAACGGCCAACTGGTTTCCATTTTGAGATAATGGACATTTTATACTTAAATTTAAACATGTGCATAGCTGTCCACTAATTTCTTGTCTTGAAACATAGATAAATCTTTTTCCATAGATTTTGGTCAATGTGATGAAGTGACATCAGAAGAACAGTAGCCATATTGTCGGCTAAAACAACATACTTCAGTAAGCCTGGCTCATTAAAAAGTGATCAGAATGAAGGGCAACTGTGTCACTCTGTCAGCATCAAAGGGTGCAGAGTCCTTTCGGTCTATTAACTTGAACGCTACCAGCCCTGCTAGCGCTGCTAGCACGTCTAGCGCATGTAGCGCAGCTAGTGCCGCTCGCGCTGCTCGGGCCACTAACGCCGTACAATAGAGTGTTTGTGTAATTCATTTTATTTCTTTATTGTTATTTTTTTAGCACCATCAATTAAGCAATTGTACATTATATCAGGATAACGTTGCATTTTTTTCGTCAGACGCAACAGTTTGTAACAGCAATAAACGACAAACAGTCTGGAAAATGAGTCGAGTAAGCCGTTACGCCGCGAAATGCTTCCAGGAACAACTTTAAAATAAAAGTGTAACTAGACATTGATGTTCATACATTCATGGTAACTCAGGTTTATTTGATTTGAAGTTGGATTCGTTACCGCGTTGGCGGCATGTTACGGTCATGTATAGCATGAACAATTGTTGCTGCTGTTAGCCTGACTTCTTTACATGTAAATAATTGGGTATTCAAGGAAGAAAATAATGCTTCAATCATTTTTTTGAACCGTGGTACTCGAATTACCTGAGGGCCCATTTTATCAAAAAAAATCTTTTTGGTTTAGTTTCTGTTGTATTTAGCATTAGTTTTATTTTTGAATAGTATTAGTAAGATAAATGTAAGATAAAAATAGCTCATTATGAATTGTGCAATAAAGTAAGGTAAACCTGAGTTCCGAAACAATTTTTTGACCTAACAGCAGAAGATGATGTATGATATTAATTGACAGACAAAAACAAAAGGACATTTTTGCGATAGTTTTAGTTAGTTTTATAAACGTAAGCTATAGATTCCGTTTTTTTTTTAATGCAGTTTTGTTTTTATTTTGTTAGCGAAAATGTTTTTTCTATTTGAGTTTTAGTCACTTCGTTAGTTTCGGTTAACGATAATAACCTTCCGCAGTTTGATTCGGGACTCCTTCCGTACTTGTGTGGACATCCTCCCTCATTCCCCAAAACATGCTTTGTTAGATTCATTGAATGCTCCGAACTATCCATCAGTATGAATGTGAGTATGAATGGTTGCTTGTCTATATGTGGCCTTTGATTAGGTGGCGACCAGTCCGGGGCTTGCGCCACCTGTCGCCCGATAGAATCGAATGCACATGCAACCGTAATTAGGAAAAGTGGAATAGAAAATGAATGGATGTTTACTATCAAAGTTTGCTGAGGGGAAAGAAGTGCACTGAATCATACTGAGAGCTGTTCCTAATGTTTTGATCCTCTCGTAGAGCTAAATAAAATATTAAACAGCTGTCAGTATGATGGAGTGCAGTTCTGCACGACTAGAAGCACAATCATAAACATATTGTTGCATTCATTTAATTGATTAATTAAGGTTAGACTTTTAGTGACTTCTGCATAATAGGAACAGTGACCGAGGGTAATTAATTTTGAAAAAAAATCATAAATAAGAATAATGAAGGGAAAATAAGGCAGAATCAGTAAAGACAATGAGAAATGAAAATGTCCTAATTAATAAACAAATAAAAGCAGAAAAAAAAATATAGATGATATGTCATTATTAAAAATATTATTAAAATAATTTGGGGTGATTTAGAAACCTTACTGAAGTAAAAATGTCCGTATAATGTATTTCACTGAGTGCCTTATAAAATAGTCTGCTTACATGTAAAATGGGGATTTATCGGCTAGTGATCCTTTAATGCAGTAGCCTCTCTGAAACAGAATAAATAAGCGGATTTTGCTCAGTGTGAAAACGTGGGCCGCCATAGTGGTTAGCTAGTCTGCCTCACAGTCAGGAGATCTTGGTTTGAATCTCCTTTGGAATTTCTCTGTGTGGCACGATTGGGTAAGTGAATGGTATTTATCATCTTTTATGATTTTTTTTTTTTTTCTTTCATGAAAGATTTGACGGATGTTTGGACTAAACCGCGACTGCACGAAACTTTTAGTGGTAACCGTTGGTGGCTAATCATAAAACGTTAGATCACTCTGCTGCAAAATGTCAAAATGGATTCAGCCCACTCGGGTTCTCTGTGGCGTGATTGTCCTCAATTTTCATAACGTGGAGATTTCCATGATTTCAAATCCAATTATCCAACAGTATGTTGTGTATATGTAATAAAATCATTTGGCAATTGTAAATTTTGTACGGTTTTGTAATCGTAACAGCCCTCTGAGAAAAAAAAAAAACTAAATGTGGCCCGTGACATAAATGAGCTTGAGACCCCTACTCTAAATTGTGCAAAAGGGGTGACTGTTACTTTGATGTGTTGTTTTGTCTATATGTGCTGGCAACCTCTCCAGGGTGTAGTCTGGCTCTCGACTCAAGTCAGGTGGGAAAAACTCCAACTCACCTGTGACTCGAAAGAGCACACATGCTACAGAGAATAAACGGATGGGAAATCTGTGCTTTAATCACTTTAATAACTGACGGACAAGTGAATGTTCCTCGTCTCTCGGAACACTAGACAGGATATCAAAACAGAATAAGTATTGCAGAAAAATGCTGAAACTGATTTTAAAAACTCTAAAACACTTTTGTTAAAGCGAGATTAATATGCTAGGGATTGTAAAAGTCGCCACTTCTGAAAATAAACCTTGAGATGCTTTGTGTGATAAGAGCAGGGCATTTCATTAGGTACACTTGCACACCAATCTAGCTGAATTTTTCATAAAGCTTATAGGCACCGTCTGCCAAGTACTTTTCCCTAATGACGACTGCATAAACAGGAATGGTATTTCTCTGAACAGCACACACACGCACACACGTACACACGCACACACGCACACACACACACACACACACACACACACACACGCACACACACACACACACACACAACAGCAGATTTGGGCCTTTTAAATATAACGATAGAAATCATAATATTTGACATATTGTACAGGAAATAGCAGAAGCAAGGGCGTCATCAGTTGACATTGTGGCACATATAGTATATATCAACACAAAAACACATAAAGATGGACTGTTGTTTACGTGTGAAAGATGAAGCATGAAACGTCAACCTTAATGACTCTGAACCTTCACGAGGACAATTTGTCTTGAGCGTTATCTTGACGTTTAAAGAAATGTTTGGCTCTACTCATGATATGATTAATGAAAACTCTCAAAATAATCATATTCAAGTGATTTAAGTACTTTACCAATACAGGCAAACTGGCTAAAGTTTTGTGTTATGTATGATGTTGTAAGCCACTGTCACATCAGACACACCCTGAACATTAACAGTGTGCCTTAATACAAGAAAAAAAAATGCACTGAAATAATGATTTAGTTGAAACATATTCCATTTAAAAGGTAAACAAAAAATGTCCTTGGATAAATTTTCGAAAACCAAACATTTTTTGACGAAGAACTTGAAGTGTTCTCCAAGGGACCATCCCCACCCCACAACCGTTTGTGTGCCCCCCTCCAGCTGTCCCGCTCCCACTGGGATGATTTAAAGTGTATTCCCAAATTTCCGCACTAAAGATGGTACTTTTTCCCCCATGCTTTGAATGACCCGGTCAATGTATGTCATTTTAATTTTACCAAAGAGCTTTGGGCCACCAATAAATTTATCGATAGTCTTGTCACATCTCACCAATAAAATTAACAAACATGTCATGGTGGACAAATGAAACTGTTCAAGCCCGCGCTCATTCTGAATCGTCACATCCGTCATTTGCCTAAATGCTTGATTGACGAAATATTTTACCAAAAGTGGCCGTATGCGAAGAGTGAAGCTTCGAAGGGAATAGTTGCACAGTGACAACATAATGTATGGAGTCGCAAAAGGAAGTTTCGAGGGAGGATTCCCTCGAGAATTGCACTTTTGTCCATTAAGGAATGTTTACAAACGGCCTACAGGCGATACGCTACATTGGCGGCAGTGGTGGGATTTATGCCCTGCCGTTTTTAACCAGGCGAGGCAAGGCAGCTTAATTTATATCGCACATTTCAACCACAAAGGCAACTCAATGTGCTTC